CTCCATCTGCCATCTTGTCCCCACCTGCCCCTCTTCTGCCTTATCCGCCAAGACGTCTGTTCTTAAACCGACATGTCTCCCCTCGAGTCCTCTGCGTGCTCCAAACTCACTGTTGTTCTCCAGCCTCCAAGCTACTTATCCTTCATCCACTTCCCACCTTCCACCGGCTACATTCCAAGTAACTAGCTGCAGACTCAAAGGAGTGAGTGTAATTCTACCCTCCTGATAGCATCCAGCTATACATCACCATCTATATGAGGCTCCCCCAATTCCTCCAGCCACAAGTAACCTTCCATTTATTCACAACACTTCCCATGAATTTATGCCTTATTGTGTCTGTGATGTCTTCTCCCCGACAAAGCATTAAACTCTTGAAGGGCAGGGACCATGTTGTATTCATGTTCCCCAAGTGCCCGGTGCTGTGGCTTTTACAGGAAGGCCCTCGACAAGATTTTAGTGAATTAAACAGAATCATCAAAATCCTCCCTTGGTTCAATCCTATTTTTTTTTTTTAAATGTCCCTTGACCTGGAATTTCTCACAGAGCCATGGATGCACTACCATCTTCAAAGGCAGTAAATGTTTCAGAGGGAAGCATTTCATCTCTTGCACACAGATTTCTCAAAACCTTTCCATTGTGAAGCCCGTGTAACGGTGTTCTTTCCTTTTTGTCACCTCAGTGGGATTACCTAGTTCTCCTCTGAGGCAAACATGTTCAGACTGTACCACATCTCTTTCACCAGACGCTTGTTCTCTGAAAAAATCGAGGCACAAAAATGAAAGAACATATTCCCTCCAAGAGTCCCTCTATCTTTCCCCATTTAGGAACTAGAGGCCTGTCTGAGGGGCCATGTGTTCGCTTGTCGTGGAATCACCTTTGCTGCCCTTCCTAAATCAGAGGACACGGGTCACGTCTGTAGGAAGGCGGTGGCCTGGGACACAGGAGATCTCTCCCCTTATGTGCATAGGGGAGACAGCCTGTAGATTAGTGGCTAGAAAAGTAGATTCCAACTCTGTGTTAGAATAACTTGGCCATGTGCTTGTTTTGCAAAAAGGGAGTGTGCAGGAAGGGACTCATGGTCTCCCACTCAGTGCAAAGATTTTCTCACAATCCCCCTTCTGTCTCCAGTACAGGGCTTCACCCCCATCCACAGCTACATTTGAAGAACCCCAGTCCACACTCTCCCTGGCTTTCTCAAATCCTAGGAGTGGGGATTTTGTTCCTGATAAGGAATTTCAACCGGTTTTCCTGTCTTCTACCCCGACATGAGCACTGCCTCCAGGGGTGCCTGGGCTCCCACGCCCTGGGCTTTGAGAGCTCAGCTTGCCCCTAGACGCCGGCTGACTTCTCCCTCGGTGGGTATTTGTGTTCAGCCCTTGCTGCTCTACCCTGTTTACATATTCTCCAGCTTCTTGAATTTTGTACAACTCTCTTGACCACTTGTGTTCCCTTTCCTGTGCTCTTTGTCTTTGTGGATTTTCACCTTTTAAAATTCCTTTACCCCCATTTTTGTTGAGTTCAGGAGGGAGCAAAAATAAATATTTGTTTCATCTACCGCATTTCATCTTACAACTCTTTAAAATTTCCTTTCCTGATTCCCAAAATGATGAGTTCAGTGCTTTGCCAAGAATATATGCTCTACCCAAAGTGTGCAGTTAGAACTGCTTTTTAACTAACCAGAGCAGAGGCAGGGCAATGACTTGAACCTCTGTTTCCCCCTATGGGAAACTGTCCGCCTGGTGGTTGATCATCTCAACAAGGCAGTGGTTGTCAGGGCCTGAGCTTCTCATATAGGCGTGAAGTTAACCTCTGCCTCGTCACATACTCAATGTATCCCCAGAGATGAGTCTTTCCCTCTTTATCTGTATGTTGATTAAAACGACACTTTCCCAAACGTTGTTAGGATGACGTGAAGTGACACAGCACAGACTGGGAGCCCACCCCGGGTCACGTTCCCCCTTGCTCTGCTCAGACCAGGAAGAATTTGCCTTGGCAGTGTTGCTGTGATTTGCTGCTCTCACCTGCTATTCATCGCATACCCACTCCTGGGACCCAGAACTGGTTCCGTTTTGCAAGGCCTGCCTGCTTTCCCTGCTGTGTGCTCTGCACCTGGTCCCAGCCTTGCAGAAATTGTTGTGAGCTGCCCTTTGTTGTGTGAGCGGAATGCCCCATATCCCCTAACCAGACAGGCACCTCTAAAGACCTACTGTTTATCCAAATTGCTCCCGTTGGAATATTAGTCATGAATGGGATAATATCTTTGAAATGTTCCAATTTTCTTTAAAGAAAAGAAAAAGAAAACCAGTCCATCGACTCTGGTCCCCCAGCTCAGGTGCAGAGGTTAGGGCTCCTGGCTGTGTCTGAGGAATAAATGCCTGTGAACACCAGCGGGGTCAGCGCAGCGGGTCCAAGGCAAAGCCCGGGGGAAAGGCACTCTGCGCGCTGCCACGGGCTGTCAGGCCCAGGAGGATTGTCTCTGTGACCGCAGAGGTGGGAGAAGCAGCAGACGGTGGAACAGGGGCAGAATTTCTCCATGAAGACCGTGGGTAGGAGGAGAGACTGAGGAAGCGAATCATGTTGGTTTCACGCAAGATGCAGCATTCTATCAGATCAAGCGCCTTCACTGGCACCTTATAACCAAGGCTCCTGGAGCTGGGAGAAGCAGCTGCCCTGCCCTCCCTGTTGCTTAGCAACAGCCTCTTTCTTATTCCCAGATGGTCCCCAGGGGCCGTTCTGAATTGGGGGGCAAGGAGAGGGAGGACCGAGGTAAGATAACTACCTGGCCTCCATAATAATGAGACGCCTGGCTCCATCCTGCAAGGGACCTGACTTGCAAATTAATGAGACGCTTAAGAAAATGTTTATTTTCCTCATTTGGGGTCAGTTCTGCGCTGACTCCCAGAATTGTTGCTTACCTTTGCGAGGTGCAAGTTTGTGCTTCCAGTTGTCTGGAGGATGACTGGAGAATGAGAGGCACGTCTGCGGCTCACACTGGACCAGAGACCCACCGTGGCTCTTCGGGCCCCTGCTCTGAAATTGAAGATGAGAGCCCTTTTCCTGGATTGTCCTGTGTGAACCCGGTGCCTGCCCTGCAGTGGCCCTGACAGCTCCTGTCCTGTCTGAACAGCCCAGGAGAGAGGGAGGGGAGGTGGAAGCACCCTAGGCCGCCCTGGAGTCTAAGGAAGGTTCCAGTGGCCATAGGGGAGTTCTCCAGCCACGGTTGCTCTGGAGGAGCCCCCTCTCCATCACCAGCTCCCCGGGTGTGCCCTGTGCTCAGCCTTTGTGCGGCGCAACTGCTAGGGCCCCCGGTCGCCCACTCTCTCTGCACTGGGCGTCTGCAGGCTGCATTCCTATGCTCCCCACACCCAGACTTGGGGTGATATGCTGCTCAGGGGTGGGGAGGGGGAACCTGGGTTGGGAGGTTATTCCCCGGGTGGGGTAGGGATGCCAGAGAAGGTAGGTGGAGGACCACACAGTGGGGGATTGAGAAAGGAGGTAACTGTGGAGAGAGGGGCGAGCCTAGGGAGAGGGGGTAGGGACTGCTTGCCCACAGGGAACCTTCTGTGAAGGGAAAAGGTCATATTTAGCACAAGCTTTGGAACTCTCTTCTTGTTCTTTTTCCCGTGGCACTGTTGCTCCCTAGAATAGGTCTCCTACAATCAAATTTCATACGGGAAATGCTCCTATAAGTTCTTATTTATTTATTTAGTTATTATTTGCAGTACGTGGGCCTCTCACTGTTGTGGCCTCTCCCGCCGTGGAGCACAGGCTCCGGACGCTCTGGCTCAGCAGCCACGGCTCACGGGCCCAGCCGCTCCGCAGCATGCAGGATCCTCCCGGACCGGGGCACGAACCCGTGTCCCATGCATCGGCAGGCGGACTCTCAACCACTGCGTCACCAGGGAAGCCCTCCTATAAGTTCTTTTACTTACATGTACTCTATTCTTTTTGCTTTATTATAAAACTGATGATACTTATACAGGTTTGAAAACACAATTTCCTTTCCTCATGTAATTATCAGTTTCTATTTTATCGTCTCTATGAAATTCAAAATGTATACCTTCTCGTGGTATTCCTGTGTCAGAATCACTGGAATGTGGCCTCCAAACTATAGTCCAGCTCTGCAGCTTCTCCTGTTCTTTGAGTCACTTAGACTGGAGTGAAATCTGATACTTAATGTCATCTCCTGAGGTGCTGAGGGGGGACCGGCGAGAAGGTGAATGTGAAGTGTGCCTGCATTCGCCCTCCAGCCCCGCGTGGCCCCCCGACCGCTACTCCACGAGCACAAAGTGACAGCTTACTAGGGGAACTGTTTCCTGATGCTCCGGTGGTGACTAGCGGTGAAATGAGTGTGGGTCCACAGAGGCCACTGGGACAGGGAGGAACCCAGACACCAGGACAGCTCAAGAGGGCGTAAGACACCAAGTATGAACCAGAGGGAGATGACCCTAAGGGCTGGGGTGGGAAGGAAGAAAGAAAGCAGATACTGGGCTGTGTTGATTTCCCAAGCCTTCACTCAATGCCAAGTACGTGCCAAGTCCATTCCATCCATCACCTCACTACCCACTGCAGACCTTGAGTGACAGAAGGTAGGACCTTACCCCCAGTGACATGCTTGTGCCGCAGGGCATCCTTCCCTTTACAGGGCTCTTCCGTAAAGTCTCGGCTACAGAGCTCTGCACTGAACTGGGACCAGAGTGGCAGAAATTGGCCGAGGGAAGGTCAGGCCAGCCTGACCTGTGGTCACTGAGGAGCGTCACTGAGCAGGAGAAATTTTGGAAAGGGCTCCTCGGGGACCCCGGTGCCCCCATCCGGGAGCACCCAGCCTTCACGCATGCATTTGGCTGGGACCCTCAGCAGGTACACACTGGTTCCAACACGGCTCCATAAACAAATCCGTCGTAATTAGCCCTGGCGGCTCAACACCTCTGCTGTGTCCGGCCCACTTACCTGACACGCCTCCTCTTATTGGAACCGGTTCTAAGTAAACTGTGTTCTTTGAGAGCCGTTGCATACAGATGAGTCGGCAGCCAGTCTGAGCTGACCCACAGACTCATAAAAACGAACAGGGCTCCGGGCCCCATCACCTGGGCCATCCAAATTCTTGAACCAAAGGTGCAAGGACTCGCTCACATCAAGGACCCGGCTGCTTTCTCCGGGACCAAGAAACTGAGCTTTTGTCTCTGTGTTCACGCTGGCAATCCATGAGGTAAGGGGAGAAATGCCACATTGCTCCTTTGGGGGGTTGAGTAAAAAGGAGTGAATTCTGGCGGAAATTTAGCCTTCTTTTCCCCATCTCAAATCTAGACAGACTGTCCACCGTTCCCAGGGGATAAAAGTGTGGTTTTAACTCCCTTGCTTGATGCTCTGTATCTTCTGCTTGCACGTGGATGACGAGCCATGAGCTTCCTCCTGGCCACCCTTGGCCATTCCATAGCCCTGAGCATCACGCCCGGTTCCACCACCTTCTCCTCGTGGTGGTGGAGACAGACGTGCGTGGGCTTCTGTCCCTGATGGCTTCAGCTCCTGCAAGGGCAGGACTCTCTCTGCCTTTGCCGTCATTCAGGTAGAGGGTAAGGGTGCTAGTGAGGTCCACTGTGGAAAACGCTGAAGGCTTGACCGGGTGGAACGTGTTAGTAAGACTCTTTGCTCACCTGCAGCAAAATGCCTTTCCTTCACTTGACGAAATGCTGCATGATTCCGAGTGAAAGCATCTGGACTCCTCACTGTTTGTTCAGCTCCCTAAATACAGCTTTGACAGATGCTCTGCACAGTGAATGGCAGCTGTTCCCTTTGTTCTGCTTCGTACGAGCCCTAGAATGAACAGGCCTGGAGCCCCCTTCTCCAAACGTCCATGTCGTATAGATGCTACGCATAGTTGCTCAACGGTGTCTGTCTTTTGCGATTGGCAAGCTTTAGGAAAATTGTGTTTGCTTTTTCCTGTAGTTGGGCGAACAAACTAAAGCCAAGCATGGTGATGGGAAGGACACCATTGTCAACAAGGACTTACCCAGCCCACTGGCAGGTGCCCTTCAGTCATACACTTAGCTTGCGTTGTCTTAATCTGCCCTGTCTTGTGAAAATGTATCCCCACTAAGTTAGCTTCGGTTTTTCAAAACACAGTGGAGTGGAGTGTCTGGGAAGGTGTGAACCATCAGAAAAGACTGTTTTGAATACATAAGGCACGAAGATGGCTTTTCTCCTGGGTGAGAAGGACATCAATTCAGCTCAGGTGCAGGGCTGAATCTGCAAATCAGCACAGGGAGCAGATGATTTGTGAATGGTTCTTGGAGCTTTGATGCTGTTGGTGGCTTTGGTTTTCCGTGATTTTTTTCCAAATACATAAGATGCTGTAATTGCCAAGGAACAATCTGCAGAGTTGAGACTCAGGCATGTCTCTTTTCCTTTTCCCAGCAATTCATTTTTTCTGTGCTGGGTTACAAATCTACCCTGGACCTTTTCACAGCTCAGTGATTTTCCAAGGATTCAGCTTTGATCACGTGCTTTGCCTCTTACCTGGCATGTGGCTTCCGTGGAATGAATGCTTCTTAGTTCCTCCACTTAGAGTTCTTACTGAGATCGCTTACATGTCCTGAGGTTGATCCAGATTTCACTCCTCCTGGATCTACAATTTAAGACGCTAATCACGACTACTGCATCCTTCACTATTGCCCTTTCCATTAATATTATTATCAGGCATACAGGGTTTTTTCCCCTTTTGACTTTCAACAAGCTTATAATGAGCATCCACTGTCTTCTGGGAATTCTTTGAAGTCCTGGGAAATTACTGAACAGCCCCTGTTAGCATGGAAGTTACAGTTTGGGGGGTGGGGTGGGTTGTGCACACGGAGGTAGACTGTTACACTCCAGGAGGATAAATGCCACAGTGTAGTCATGATGACTGTTGCCTGAACAGGAAGGACTGCCCAGTTTGCCTGTGGAAGGCCTCCTCGTGGGATTGTGACCCTCAGCTCGCTGGGTGGGCAGGATGGGGCCGCTGGAGACAGGAGGAAGGGCATTCCAGAGCAAGGAAACAGCATGTACAAAACCACGGAGGCATGAGAGAACATGGCGTATGCGGGGAATGCTGAGCTGGCGTGGCTGGGGTGGGGGGACGGGGAGGACAGAAGGACGGAGCTGTGGCGGCAGAGCTGACCACGAGGGCCCTCGCGCACGATGCCCAGGAGCGCGGCAGTATCTTGAAGGTAGTGGGAGGCCACGTGAGGTCATATTTACAATTTAGAAAGGCTGCTTGGACTGCAAAGTGCAAAGTGGGTTGAGCTGGGGTATGACCATTGCCAGGAAACCAGTTAGGAAATTACTCAAAGGCAGAATACACGAGATCTAGGACAGACTGGCTGCGAGGATTAAGCATAGCCCTGACACGGGAAACTGAGGGTTGGCTGGTCTCATTCTGGGAATTGCCCCAAAGTCCAAACGATGAGCAAACTTTGAATGGAAAAGGACGTTTTCTCTACCCTGAGCCTCACGCACCCACCTGGGCCCAGAGAAATGAGTTAATGCGCCCAGATGTTACAGGAGGCCGCTGCTGTGTAGGGCAGAGGCCTGGCCTTGCAGGGGCCCCCTCCTCAGAAATGTAGCCTCCGGTCATTTGCTTTCCTCCATCATTGAAGTAAGTGCCTGCCTGTCTGCAGTGAAGGAGTATCTCTTTCTCCTTCTCTCATTGATCACCTGGGCCTAGATGATGCGTCGCCCGGGACCTCTGCTGAGCCCCAGTGTCACCCCTTCGGAGGCAGGGCAGAAAATGTGTCTTTCCCGGCGGTGGAGCTTAAAGTGGAGACAATATCAGAAATAATGACAGAATTGCTGAGCTTTAGAGGCCCCTGTCACCGTTACTCTAAGTACCATTAATTGCCCCAAAGTATTCCCTACTCACACGGAGCAGTTACTGAGCTGAATCTTCCATGTGGGTCATTCCTATGAGTAGGTGCTCTTTTCTTTTTTTTTAAATATAGAATAATCTTTCTTTTTCTTTTCTTTTTTTTTATCGGAGTAAAATTACTTTACAATGTTGTGTTAGTTTCCGCTGTGCAATGAAGCGAATCAGCTACGTACATACCTATATCCCCTCCCTCTTGGACCTCTTTCCCACCCCCGCCATCCCACTCATCTAGGTCGTCACAGAGCACTGAGCTGAGTTCCCTGTGCTATACAGCAGGTTCCCACTAGCTATCTATTTTACACGTGGTAATATATTTATGTCAAACCTAATCTCCCAATTCGTCCCACCCTCTCCTTCCCCACTCTGTGTCCACATGTCCGTTCTCTACGTCTACATCTCTATTCCTGCTCTGCAAACAGGTTCATCCGTACTATTTTTCTAGATTCCACATACATGCATTAATATACGATGTTCGTTTTTCTCTTTCTGGCTTACTGCACTCTGTATGACAGACTCTAGGTCCATCCAGGTCTTGAGTAGGTGCTCTTTTCAGCCCCATTTTGCAGGGAGGTAAAGAGGACAGGGACAAAGGGAAGGGAACTTAAGTCCGTGTCTCCTGAGTTTTTTCTAGTGGGCCACATGGAATAGGATGACGTTGATAAGACAATTACCCCTTGCTGGGGTCAGTGGAGAGGCTGCCATCTCAGGCCTGGTCACTCACTCCAGGCCCACCCCAGGGCGAGGGGACAGCCTCTGGGTCCACGTGACCCCTGTCCAGTCACAGCGTCTGAGACGCTCTGGGCGGGTCCCACAGGCAGTGAACGGCAGAGCTGGGATTCAGACCCATGTCTATCTGACCCCAGCATCCACCATATATCCCTCCTCCTTCCACTTGGCAGGCGGGTAACAGGTCCCGGATAGTGAGATCTCACAGCTCAGAGTATCTGGAAAAAGCAGCCCTCTGGGGTTTAAGTGAGGATAGACTCATGTCAGACTAGCTAATTTCCGGTGCCCCTAGGACTTTTCTCCCTGGACCTGAAGTAACTCCTGGGACCCAGACAGGACTCAAAGTGTTCCAGTTTAGTTTCTGTCAGGCCCGAGAAGAAAAATATTCCAGAATGTGTATCGTGTTGCAAGTTCAAGTCACAGCCGAATGAATTTATTGGCACAGAAATCAAAGTTTGCCCAATAATTAATTGAGGATAGTTGAATATATTAATTAGTTTTAAAGACTCTGCTTCCCACTGTCTCTTTTCCCCACATCAGCTCGGCATCTTCAGAGGTGGAGGTGATGGTGAGCCTGATAAGGGGGTCAGGAGACAGCTCCAAGGAACCATCCGTCTACCTTCATCTCAATAAAATCATTAAAATTTCATAGGTTGAGAAAAGAAAGTACAGGGCAGTGATGACTTAGGCTAAAGCCAAAAGTAAAGGAAAAAGGACCAGACCTTCCCAGTCTGTTCTGTCTCCCGGATTATATATGATTCATGCGTAATATTAGCTCTGTTCCAGACAGCAAAAGTGGTTGGCTTGATTATGTAGTTCATAATCTTCATGAACAAGCAGGGAGTGTGTATGGAAATGGGAGAAACAAAACAGAATAAAAACAAACAACTTCAAACAAAGAGAAAAGATGAAAGAAAAATTCCTGGGGAGACATATAGGAGGTAGACCTAGAAAAGCCAACAATAAGCAAAAAATAACCTAAGGTCAAGGGGTTCAGAAAAGTCCATTCTCTGCTCCAGGTGGAATGATCCTAAGCCATCCTCACTGGCTTTGTTATGAAGGATGTTCAGAGAACTTTCCCCATCCTCGCTGTTGCCTTGTCAGAATCCACGAGCAGACAAAGGGAGTGATGCCCTCACCCCTGAAACTCCCTGGCTCTGTTTGAAAAACAGCACAAAGAAACCAAGAATAATGCACACAATGGGCAACTGCAAGACTGTTGAGAATCCAAAGATGTTCTACCCCAAGTAGCTCCTTCTCGAAAACTCTAAGGGCTTTAGCTGTTAATATAAAACCCAACCCAATACCATCCCATTAAACAACAGAGCATTGAAACGAACTCTTCGTTTGGCAGATTTTTACAAGATTTTTATTTTATATTGGAGTAGTATAGTGGATTCACAATGTTGTGTTAGTTTCATGTGTGATTCAGTTATACATACACATATATCTATTATTTTTCAGATTCTTTTCCCATATAGATTATTACAGCGTATTGACTGGAGTTCCCTGTGCTATATACAGTAGGTCCTTATTGATTATTTTACATATAGTAGTGTGTACAACTAATTTTAAACAAT